GGGGGGGGGGGGGGGGGGGGGCGGGGGCGGGAGGGGAGATTTTGAACTGCCTAGATGGGGTGGGGTGCTGGGGTTAGAGAAATCAGGCTAAAATGTGCTTTGTGCCCACTTACGGTTGTCTGACTTCTTCTCCACTTTAATCCTTTTGTTGTTGTTGTCCTCTGTCTTGACAGCCATTGTGTTGTCTGAAAGAACCATGTTTTCATCTATTTTAATATAAGCCATTATCATCTCCAGGGTCAGTCAAGGTTCAGGATTCTCTATGGGCTATAGGAAACTGGTCAAGCAAATTAATGTTTGCTCAAGTGTCCCCTTTATCTGACTAAAGTCTGGATCCTCCCCCCCCCCCATTTTAAAAAAAAATGAAAGAACATACGTTTGGTATTATTTGACTGCCTAAAAACAATAATCCATTTACTTTTCAATTTGTAGGATACTATATTAAAACAGGACCTTGACTGAAATTCATAATAATGAATGATAAAATAAGTTGTCATCCATGGTCCTCATGTTACAACCCAAACACCATTCTCTTAGCAACATTTCATTCGAGAAATACCCGATAGAGAAATACCCGAGAAATACCGGTAGCCTTATGAAGAAGGATAAAAACCTTGATCAGTGTTTTATCAAGAGGTATTTCAATAGCTTTCCAGCACAATCTTGCGTACATGACTGAGGTAACTTTGGGTTGTTGCAGTTACATTTAGGAGTGTAGAAAAATGCCTCCAAGAGGGACTTGTGTTCAAAACTTTATTTCACCACAAAGATGGAACCCTAGACCTGGGGTTTCCCAACTATTTTGAGGCCAAGCTTTCGCATGCTTCATTTCTTAAGGGGGCCACAAAGAAAAATCCAGATAAAACATGATAGCAAACTAATTTTACATAGGAGGCTTATTAACTATTTAAAAAAATGTGGATTTTTAAAAAAATGTGGATTTTATGAAAAATCTGTCATAAAAAAATTAAATACACGATGTGGGTTTTGCAACGCTTTCTATTTTTTTTTTTTTTAGAGTAAAATGATAATATACCTGAGTCTCCATTAGGTATTTTTCTGGAAGGTGGTCGGGAGTCGCTGGACTTTCTGTCATCTTCCTCTTTCACTTCTGCCTTGACGTCTGTCTGGTCCAGCTTGCTGACCCTGCCGGCCATGGCTGTGTCCTGCCCCGGGCCGTTGATGCCAGGCTCCCGCAGCATTTTGGTAGAATCGACCCGCTCTTTCATGGTGATAACCGCAACGGCAGCAACAATGTCCGGTCGGAGGAGATCAGCCAACCCTGGTTACTGTAGGCTGGCTAGGCCTACAGTAGAGATTAGGGTCATGCATATTTACATGGGTACTATAATGCGTGGTGGGGAAAAAGGAATCTCAAAATATTGAAATATATCCGTGTAAAAGTAACGGCTCCAGGAAACGTTCTGTGCAATATCCAGGAAATTAATCTCAGAATACAATGCAATCCAATGTAGGAACAGGCTAAATATCTTGAGGAAAAAATAGACACACTCAACAACTGGTATTACACTCTTAGAGAATTATCCACACATGAAATGAAACACATTAATCTTTTGAATATTCAAATACACTAATCTCGAAATGATTCACTGGCTTGTGGTGTTG